AAACTGTTGTTAAAAACATTCTACATAGGATTTTTCATTCTCGTTAATTTAGGGTTAAGTCTGGAAAAAAGTATGTTTTTTATACTTGGACAGAAATTTAAACGTATGGTCATTTTTACACACCAACATTTTAATTACTGTCCAAGTAAAAAGTATATCATTTTTACACACCAACATTTTAATTACTGTCCAAGTAAAAAGTATATCATTTTTACACACCAACATTTTAATTACTGTCCAAGTAAAAAGTATATACAAATACTTTCAAAAACTACCACTGGCATTACTATTGATAACAGCTGATAGTATTGATACAACAATTAAATATTATTACTGATGACTCAAACATCTAAGCCTTTTCCAACTAATAAACAAATTTGTCTTGTCACTGATTTTCAGTTCTACTGTCCAGATAAAACTTGTACTGTTAACTCAAACCTTACTTATAGTCCAAGTAAAAAAGTATACCTTTTTACACACCAACATTTTAATTACTGTCCAAGTAAAAAGTATACCTTTTTACACACCAACATTTTAATTACTTCTAGCAGTAGTGTCAATAATAATATGTACAAGTAGTGTCAATAGTGATACTTAGTAGTAGTGTCAATAATAATATGTACAAGTAGTGTCAATAGTGATATTTAGTATTAGTGTCAATAGTGATATGTATGAGTAGTGTCAATAGTGATCTGTACCAGTAGTGTCAATAACATTATTTATTTATTATATGTACCAGTAGTGTCAATAACATTATTTATTTATTATATGTACCAGTAGTGTCAATAGTGATATTTAGTATTAGTGTCAATAGTGATATGTAGCAGTAGTGTCAATAGTGATATGTATGAGTAGTGTCAATAGTGATCTGTACCAGTAGTGTCAATAACATTATTTATTATATGTACCAGTGGTGTCAATAACATTATTTATTATATGTACCAGTAGAATGTTTTACGGAAAGGTACGGAGAATGTAAAGAATGTTTTATGGAAAGGTAAGGAGAACGTTTTAGGGAAAGGCACATAGAATGTAAAGAACATTTTAAGGAAGGGTACAGAGAATGTGAAGAATGGTTCACAGAAGGGTACAGATACTGTAAATAATGTTTTACGGAAAGGTACGGAGACTGTAAATAATGTTTTACGGAAAGGTACAGAGACTGTAAATAATGTTTAAGGAAAGGTACGGAGGCTGTAAGTAATGTTTTTTGATTCACGTTATGGTTAACATAGGTCTATCATATTCTAGAAAAGATAAACTTCCAACTGAACTTGATTTAATATGAGGATAATGTGCTAACACCAATTATGTGAAATAACTGAACCATACAGACAAGATGCCAAAATGGTCTGGCTATTGATAAGTGACACATTTATGTCCACAAAAGAATTGCTACAAATCAAGGAGAATGAAGTGACCTAACTGCATATCAATGACCTTTTGTGCATACAGATTGCCATTGTTCCCCAGATACAGTTAAGAGTTTGTGAAGATGTGTGGTCTAAGATTGACCTGAAACTATCAACATTAAAACATTTCGAATAAAACAAACAAACAAAGCTTTTTTTCGAGCCATTCAAACGGTATCATCGGCTTTCCAAAACTCCATCTATTTTATTATATTGGCCAAAAAGTTGCAGAAAGGTGCTTGTGAAGGATTTCTTGTTTATTTTGAGATCCAGGGACAGTGAGTTAAACTATATTATTTACGCATTACACTGAAACAGAACACAGACATATATCGATACACAAGTGTTTACCACATTTGAAGGGATGGGTTCAGCATTTTACATCGACAACTACAGAACTTAAAGAAAAGAAAATTTCACATACAATGTTACAACTTTTAAAAATAAATGGTAATACCAAACAATTTACAAAAAAAAAACAACTCAAGAATACACGTACACAAAGTTTTAATTTTTATAAAAATTTAACTTTTAAACTCAGCTCGTCATTATAGTCGGCTAGAGCTAAGCCTAACAAGGCCTAAACCATGAATGTATTTTTAAAATGTAATTTAAAATGGTCAAATTCTTTTTTTCTTTATTTAACCAGTTTCACAAAATATTCTTAAGTATCAAAACTTTAAAACCAGAAAAGAAGTACACTTTTTTGAAAAGTAAGAGATATGTTTATTTTAAATACCTAAATTTATATACTTATGAACTAAAATTAATTTTTTTCACATAGATCTAATTTTATTAAATAGATTCGATATAGTGTTACCTTTCCATCATTTTAAAATCATAAAATTAATCATACGACTTTTAGAGTACAATTTGCATAATAACAAAAAAAAATAATCACAATTTCATAAAAAAACAAAACTTACGTATTGATTATTAGTTTCAGATTTTTGAGCTAATTCTTTTTCTAATTTCTTCTTTGCGTTTCGTCGCTGGAGCAATATACAAAAAAGAAAGTAATAAAAGAATGTTATTGACACTTTACATTCTCTGTACCTTTCCAGAAAAAGTTTTTATCATCTTGTAATAGGTAAATGATAGATTTCATTTTACAACCGGTACACCCAGATCTCTTCTAGCATTACAACCGGTACACCCAGATCTCTTCTAGCATTACAACCGGTACACCCAGGTCTCTTCTAGCATTACAACTGGTACACCCAGATCTCTTCTAGCATTACAACCGGTACACCAGGTCTCTTCTAGTATTACAACCGGTAC